TCTCATGTTTGCGTGGGGCTGGTGACATGCTGCATCACTGGCTTTCGTACATTCTCTGCCACTTTCTAATTGTTGAAAAACCTGAGTTTGTTTTTCAGTCTGCTCCCTCAGTTTAAGCTCTTTAATGAAAAGCTTCAGACAACCCAACTGTGAGCAGCTGTTAATAAACTGATCACTTCCAATAAAACAAATTCCTTTACTAGTTATTTTTAAGGCCCAGGAAGACTCATAAAGAATCTTCCCTCTCTGTCATACAGTTTTTCAAGAGCCTTTGTTGGAAGAATCACGACTGGGCTACATGGAAATGAGAATAAAGGGGGGACTTGTGCAGGTTGCTCACATAGTGAGAAGTTAAACATGGTGTATCAATATTCTCTGAGGCATCCTAATACAGCCCAAATTGTTTTGTCTCCTGTCAGGCCTTTCTGAAACTTGTCTGAATAGCTACAGTCGATGAGCAGTTTGGCTTTGCTTCAGGCTTGTAAGATGGGAATTTCTTTCTGTTTAAAAGTACTCTTTTTTAGGGTATGCTGAAACTCTGAAAGGGTTTAAAATGGCCAAAGTCTGAGATGAGGTTGCTGCAACTCTCAAACTAAATCTGGACTGGGGGTTTTGAGCTTGCGGCTTGATCATGGAGCAGTGCTTCCTCCTACCAAGGGCTCCTCAGTTAGGTGCTGCTTTGCTGCCCTTATCTTTTACCTGTATTTGGAAACCCTGGCAGCGAGGTTTGGAAGTGGGTTGTTCGGCAAGTGCAAGCCACACCTCTGCTCCCCACAGCTGGAGCACAGCCTAGTCCTGCCCAAGACTTCAGACTGAGCCTGTTGCGGGCAGCCCTTCGCAGCTCTGTGTCGGGGGACTCTTCATTCTCTGCACTTTCCTGTCTCAGGTTTTCTGTTGTGACTACAGGACACATTTCCCATGTTCCATGAGGTGCTGCGGGGCACGATTCCACCCAGAGTCCTGCCTTTTCTGGCAGCTGTGCTTTTCCAAAGGAAGGAGAGGAAAGAGACTGGGTTTTACCACAGGCGGGTAAGACAGCATTCCTCAGCTGATGTGTCCGGCAGTGACTTCTGCTACTGCACGTGTGGAAAACTGATCCTGCATTTCTGCAGGACTTGATCAAAAAGTTTAGGGGAGAATTTTGAGTGAGAATAATGCTAAGGGAGATCTCATTATTGATTAAATTCAGAATCTGTGTGAGGCAGAGCAGGTCTCTGTTTCCTTGGCTTTTTGGGGAACAGATTTAAGCTGATGACAACTATATGGAGTCCAAAATACTGGACTTTTTATCAACAGAGATAAAATAGTGTTTGTGTTTTCTTGCAAGATATCCTTGATTACCGTTCCCCTTCCTTTCTGCTTTCTACCTTATCCCACGGAGCTTAATGATCTAAAATAAGCAAAGATTAATGATGATGTCACCCCCTGTTCATAATGCTGACCAACCACATTAGATAAAGGGGTTTCACTGTGTTTGCCTTTTAATTGGTAATCATTCCATTGTATAAAATGGTGTGGCCAATAACCTCGGGTTTGAACACCAAGTGTTTGTGAAGGAGTCTCTGCCTAGGAGATCAGATCTGTTATCTGATTACCTGTTCTCTCCCACTGCCCCAAAATCTGCAACTTAAAATTGGGGTGACCGTTAAATATCACAGTTAAATGTCCTCTCTACAGTTCTTACTGACTTTCTTTTAAATGTTGTTTAGTAGTTGGGAAATTGGGCTGCAAGAGACTAGTGTTAGTCTGATGTGATTTCCATTAACCTGTAAACCACTGAATGTGATATTTCCCCTTAGGGGCTCACTATGGAAATAAATAGAAATTCAATATGGCTTAGCATAGTTGTGCTGGCTGGTAGGGAGAGGTTTTGTATTGAGTGGGGTATGGGGCAGCAGATCACCCTTTTGTCTTTGTAGGTGAATTCAGTGTAATCAGATCTTTTTGATTTCTGAAGTTCAGTCTTAATTTCACACACTAAAGACAAACAACAATAAACCAGGAGCAAGCTCAGTGTTTGCTGCTGCTATTATGATACTTAGCTGTTGGCACTGTGCAGATCACCTTATTGATTCTAAACCTAGCCCTCCAGAAGATCATGGTTCTTAGGGCTGGGTCTGTGGTCTCCTCTCATGTCTATGGGTGCACACTTCTGGAGAAGAAGGGGAAGTGCAAGTGGTGCTGAAGAATGCCAGGAGTTTGCTTTTGGGTTTAAAAGCAAACTTGTGAGACTTTAGCCACAAGGAAGGGGATTATGGGCAGCAGTGTTTACTTGGGAGCAGGAACAAGCTGGGAAGAAAATGCTCCCTTGGTAAAGTGGACACTTCTTTGAGCTACCTGGTTTGCTTGGTAGCTGTGAAAATGAAGGAAAATATGGCTTAGAAGTTACATTTTTATTTGCTGTTGACAGGGTTTCTGTAATGAAACTGACAAGCTTACGGTGAGTCCTCTGCATCCACTGAGAGATGTGGAGTGGATCCTAGCCCTTGCATCCCACTCTAAGAGCAGGTAGTCTGGGCTGTCTGAGGGTAGAGACTACTGGGATAGCCTGTTCTGCAGTTGCTCGCTGTTGCGTTGACACCTTCAGTTTAGATGAAAGATACAGTTAGCAGGGTTGAGTATGTGAACATTCAGTCTTGTACTCTCATTTAAAGACCTTGAGGTTTGGGGTTTTTTTTTTGCCTCAAATGCCCTCTCCTGAGCTCTGGAAAAGGGGCAATTCTGAAAAATCAATAAACGACAAAGTAGGAATTGGTTGCTTGCACCGTTGCATGTATTGGTATGTTGTCATGTGCACTGGTATAGGCAGATCTGTTATTATTTATTGCTCATTTCCCATACAGATTTGCCTGCCTTTTCCTTGATGGGTTCATATAGAGCATATCTGATACTTTCCTGCTTCATTAGTCTGCGAGGTTCACAAACATGTTATGACCTTGCTGTGCCTTTGATGAAAGAAAAGAGGAGAGGCACATAAGAAGGTTAGTTCTGGCATGACTGATTGCACAGACTTGGGAGCACAGTGAAATGTCTGTTGTGTTATATGCCCTTGCATTTTCCACACCCTGATCATGATTTATCCTCAGCTGTGTAATGACTGACTGCAAATCAAAGGTTGTTAGAGACCTTTGGAAAAGACTTTCGTTTGAACACGTGACTATATGTTGACAGATGCCATGTTGTAAAAGACAGATATGCTATCTTCAGGGTGTTCTGTGTTTCCTCTGCTAATAGTGTCTGAGTTCCAGGCGATAGTCAGGCTACATTGAGTGAAGATTGCTTTGACAGCAGTGGAGGTGTGATGTGGCTTCATTTCTCAACAGTCTGAAGAGTTGCAGCACCTTTAGGAAGTTGCTGAGGTTAATATATGCAATCTTGAATTTCTGTCTGTAGTCCATTACCCAACTCAATGAGGTAGAAAGGAGGTCAGGCTTTGCCTGAGAAACTAGTGTCAGTGACTGAACAAAATACGGGTGATTAGGAATGATTAAAAAAGAAGAAAAACTAGAGTCTGAAGGATAGAGCTAATGGTTCAATATCTTATTCCTAGAAGCAAGGGGGGGGAAAATGAGCATTCAACATGTTGATGTTGCCCTTTAAGAGTAATAGTAGTATAATTGAAGTTTGCAAAATTTAATTTGGCACCTATGTGTGAGGTATCTTTGGCAATGCATATAATTTTTATCCTTTGCTTGTTGGTTAGGGTGGGTCGTACTCAGTGCACAGATGTTCAGTGTACTATGTATGTCATGGTTTTATTGTGTTGCACTCTCTGAGCCTTTCCCAATAACCAATGGTGTGAAACAAGGTTGCGTTCTCGCACCGACCTTATTCACAATCTTCTTCAGCATGATACTCCAAAGGGCTACAGCAGACCTCGACGAACAAGATGGCATTTATATTCGATGTCGTACCGATGGTAGCCTATTCAATCTAAGGCGACTGAAGGCCCACACTAAGACCCTAAACCATCTTGTCCGTGAACTGCTCTTTGCTGATGATGCCGCCCTTGTTGCCCACACAGAAGCAGCTCTGCAGCGTTTAACATCTTGCTTTGCGGAGGCGGCTGAGGTTTTTGGGCTGGAAGTCAGCTTGAAGAAGACAGTAGTCCTCTACCAACCTGCACCCCAAGAAGATTATCGCCATCCCCATATTACCATCGGCGAGTCAGAGCTTAAGACAGTTCAGCAGTTCAGCTATCTGGGAAGCATCATTTCCTCGGATGCCATGATCGACAAAGAGATAGACAACAGAATAGCAAAGGCATATAGAGCCTTTGGAAAACTCCATAAAAGAGTCTGGTGTAATAAACACCTGAAGAAAAGTACAAAGATCAGTGTCTACAGAGCCATTGTATTGTCTACTCTTTTATATGGGTCTGAATCATGGGTCATCTACCGTCATCACCTGCGACTCCTGGAACGCTTTCATCAGCGCTGCCTCCGTACAATTCTAAACATCCATTGGACTGACTATGTGTCTAATGTCACTGTCCTCGAACAGGCAGGGGTCACCAGCATCGAGGCCACATTGCTGAAACTGCAGCTGCGCTGGGCAGGGCACGTCTCTAGAATGAAGGATCACCGCCTCCCCAAGATCGTGTTTTACGGTGAACTTGCCACCGGTAGCCGCAAGAGAGGTGCCCCAAAGAAGAGATACAAGGACTCCCTGAAACAATACCTTAGCCTTGGCCATATTGACTACCATCAGTGGTCCACCTTGGCCTCCAATTGGGAGACTTGGAGGCACACCATACATAATGCCGCTGACTCCTTTGAGAGCTCACGAAGAACTAGTCTCGAGGAGAAAAGACAACGCAGGAAGAATCGTGTCCCACCTGTTCCACCCAAGGAGACCTTCTGCTGTGCTTTTTGTAGCCGGATTTGCCTATCCCACATTGGCCTTCTTAGTCACCAGCGCGCTTGTAGTAAGCGTGGGTAAATGCCCTTCCCAAATCTTCGTTCGCGAAGTCAAGCCATGAGATTGTGTTGTTCAAACCCTGTTTTGCAAAAGCTGGCAAGTATGCTTAAGTGATAGGGAAAATTCCACAAGTATATGACTGCTTAGCAAACATAGTACGCTTCCGTTTATCAGATAAAGAATACTGAAAAGAGGTTGACAGTCCAGGGTTCATTTGTTTCGTTGAGATCCTAGCTAGTGATATGTAGGGCCTGTGTTCTTACTTAATGTTTGGTACTCCGCAGCATTTTGTTGTAAGTGACAATCCTGTTGAATTCAGCTGTAGGTGAATACTGAGTGTATCTGAAATCAAACTCTGGTCTCAAGCCAACCATTCAGAAAATAATGAAAGTGAAGTAGCAACCACTTACAAAAAGCATTTTGAAATGGGAGTTAAGAATACGAGAAATTTTTAGCTGGCCAGAATTGTGTCATATCTGATGGAAACAAGGCAGAATCCCATTCAGGTCATAAGCTTTAGATAATTACTTCTGTGCAGTCTCAGCACTAAATCCCTTCAAGCTGTTTCCTCTTGGCTTCTGCTGCCCTCCCCCAGCTTGTCCTACATGACATTCCAGGATTCTCTCAGCCTATTTTTCTTTCCTCTTCACATCTGTGCATCTAGATACTAATATTACTTTCCAAAAATAGCTTCCTGGCAGCTTTCAAGAGCAAGAATTGCATTTTGTTCTATGCTGGGTAAAGTGGTGTGCACATTTAGAGCGCTGATACCAGCAACAGTCCAGAATGAAAAGGAATTTAAGGTTTGCCTTTTGCTCAAACTGCCAGGAAGTATGTGTTCTTACAAGAAAGTGGGGTTTTCCTCCTTGCAAACAGCATGTGCTTTCTATGTCTTTAGACCATGCTGTTAATATTCTTGCCATGTCTGCTGTTACTCAAGCATGCATGTGCCCTTGGCAAGTAGTCTTGAACTAGCCAAGGCATGCTTAAAATTATTTGAGCAGCTTCAGTATCTGTTTATCCTTCAGCAGGAATGAATTAGTGAAGCCAAAATAATCTATAATTAGAGGAAACCCTAAATCAGGGACTTATTTTCTAAGGTCTGTGAGGAGTTACCCTAAGACATCACTCATGCTGAAAGGGAATTGGATTTCCTTCTGGACTCCTTTAGTCTTCCTCCAGAACGTCAAAAGTGCTGCCTATGTTCCTGGACTGGCTTATGAATGGCTTATTTTTGGTTGGCTGATGAGATCCATTTCTCTGGACTGATACTAGTGCAGTTATAGAGCAGGTATTGCAGTTGGGTTACATGCTGAGCTTGATCTTTTTGTTCTTTTTTTCAGTGGGAGAAGCACCCTTACTACAACCTAACGGTAAAAGTTCTCCGAGCCAGAAACATCAAGGGTACAGATCTGTGTAAGTATTTAGTAAAGTTATTAAGAAAACAGGTGGTTTGTTCAATGTATACCTGTGACACAGGTAGCATTGTTACAGGAACTTCTTATGTATATATAGTGTACTTCTTTTACATCTGAATAAAGGCTTCTCTTGTAAAGCATCATATATATATTAATAGTTTGATGTGAGGCTAAGCTACAGATGAACTCTGCTGCTTTGCAGAACAGTATCAGGTAAGTCCTGCTGATGTTTTCCTTCCCCCTCCTTTACATGTCCTCCTATGGCCTGTTGTATGTTCCTTTGGATTCAGCCCTCCAGTCATGGCAAATTTCACCCTTGCTCCCACTGAACAGTCTTCTTGCACCTGGAAGTAGCAGTCTTCAGTTCTAGCTTCCAAATGCTTATTTTCTCAGTTGGATTAGTGCTTTCTTTCATGTGCTTGCTATTCTGTTTATGTCATTGAAGCTTTTCAGGACCTACGTAGTTGACTGATTCAAAGAGAAACTGCTTTTTACATGTTCCTGGTTTTGGTAGCATGGTATATACTCCTTTCCTCTTACTCACCTGTGTTGAGTAAGCCTCCAGGGCATTTGGAACTTTAAAACTAATTTGAGATTTAATTCCTTCAGATTTAATATAGTAAGGTAGTCTGGCTTCCTAAACTTTATATCTGGATTCCAACACTAAACTACAAGAATACCAAATTACTGTTCAATGAATGGAAGACCCTTTTGAAAGGTTGAGGGCTAGAATCACAGGATAAAGAGAAGTTCTTTTTATGGCCTTTCTCTTCAGCTGAAGTAATGAACGGTTCCCATACTTGCATTGTTAAGGAGCCTTAACTGGAAGAAGGACAGACTTTGAGACGATCTGTTGTTTTCAGGGAATGGAAACAGAAAGCTCAGCTCTTGGCCAGACTGGAGGAGGGTATAGCAGTGGTGGATATTGTGTATTTGGACTTTTGTACTGTCTCCTATAAGATTCTCAGAGAGAAGCTGATGAAGTATGTACTGGAGGAGCAGACAGGGAGAAAAACTGTCTGAATGACAGAGTTCTGAGAGTAGTGATCAGCTGGAAGCCAGTAACTAGTGGCATCACCTAAGGGTCAATTCTGGGTCCCCTATTGTTCAATGTCTTCATTAATAATGTGGATGATGGAGCAAAGTGTACCTCACTTTTGCAGAAAAGGACCTGGGGGTCTTGTTGGACAGCAGGCTTACCATAAGCCAGCAATGGGCCCTTCCTGGAAGGAAGGCTAACAGTATCCTGGGTGCATTAGGAGCAGCATTGCCAACAGGACAAGCAAAATGATCCCCTCTACTCAGTACTCGTGCAGCACTGGTGAGGCTGCATTTGGAGTAGGGTGTCTACTCCAGTAGTTCAGGGCTTTCTGCTATTGGGAGGTACTGAAGCTACTGAAAAATCTTGTGAAGGATCAGTAAGATTTTAAACAGCCTGGAGCATCTGTCATGAGGAAAGGCTGCAGAACAGAAGGCTCAGGGAATCTTATTGATCAAGTATCTGAAAGGAGGGTGTTAAAAAGATGAAGCCAGACTTTTCAGTGGTGCCTGGTGACAGAACAAGAGGCAATGGTCCTGATATTGGCAGTAACCTTCTTTTGAAAAGTTATCTTCCTCTTTTTGGATAGTGGCCTCTTTTATGAAGGGCTTTATGGTTTGGATGAACCAAAAAGATACATAGGTAGCCAGTGTTCAGTTTGCTGCTTTTTAAGGATTTGTATGTCATTAAAGGTTTTTGCTTTGCAAGTCCAGCCTTAAATTTGTACATTGCTATAATGCAATGAGATCTAGAAAATGAGGAGCTTATAGGAAAGAGTATGTTTGATTGCGGTTGTTCTGATGTCTGTCTCCACACTCTCTGCTCTAGTGTCCAAGGCAGACTGCTATGTGGAACTAAAGCTGCCCACTGCATCTCCTACAGTCTTCCGAACTCAGGTTGTTGACAACTCTGATAACCCAGAATGGAATGAAACTTTCCAGTATCGAATCCATACGGCTGTCAAGGTAAGAAGTGCGCTTTGTGGAGCTGGTTGGTCTATCTGCACTTGTGCACTGACTTACTTTTTGTACTTCATTCAGAACCAGGGCATCTTTATTGACCTCAAACCTGGTGTTGCTTGTAAGGTGTCAATCATCTTCAGTGGTACAAAAAGCTGCACTATGCATGTCCAGTGATAATCACAGGAGTTTGTAACTACACTCTCATGTAAATTGTCGCTAGAATTTTCATAAATGTCCTTGTGATGCAACTCAGGAAAGGGAGGTTATGGCACTACCTGGTAGTTTAAGGAAATACCTTGATAAAGCAAGTTTCTATCTACTTTCACAGAGTGGCTGTTGCCTTCTTGTAGCTCTACCTGCCATACACAGCCAAGTGTAAGCCAAGCCTCAGAAAACCTTTTAGCTGAGCACTGTCAACTAGGAGCTTTTTGCTTAACTGTGCTGCAAGCCTTGCTGGAAATAACAAATGCTCTTCAGGAGTGGAAAAGGGGAAAGGTATTGATAAATGCTTGTAGTGACAGGACAAGGGGGAATGAGGTTTAAACTTAAACAGGGGAAGTTTAAGTTAGATACAAGGAAGAAGTTTTTTTACTGTGAGGGTAGTGAGGGACTGGAACAGGTTGCCCAAGGAAGTTCTGAATGCTCCATCCCTGGCAGTGTTCAAGGCCAAGTTGGATGGAGTCTCAGGTGACATGGGCTAGTGTGTAGTGTCCTTGCCCATGGCAGGGGGTTGGAACTAGATGATCTTAAGGTCCTTTCCAACCCTAACTATTCTATGAGTCCATGATTCTAATGCAGAAAATGTCTATTGCATGCAGCTGCTCAGGGTTGTGGAAGTGTTTCCGTCTTTTCATCTGAGGCTGTTTGGTTCTCTTTGGTTTTAGAACATTCTGGAATTGTCACTTTATGATAAGGATATCCTTGTCAGCGATGAGCTTACATCTATTGTCTTCGATGTAGCGGGCATGAAGTTGGGTCAGCCCCTGCTGCGCACTTTCAAGTTGAACCCTGAGGTTAGTCCCTAGCTTCTTCCCAGGTCAGCTGTGAATAGCGGCAGCTCATCATTACAGAAATCCTGCAGTACATGCTAATTGATTTATCTGTGTTGTAGAAGCCAGAAGGGGAAAAAGCATCAGGAGGTGATGACTCCTGATGCATTTATGTTTTGTATGCTTTTACTATTGCCTGAGATGCTTCTAAAATCCCTGGTGATTTGTGTGTGTGTGCGTTCCACAGTCTTTGGGATACCCAGCTAAATGAAACTGCTGTCTTTCAGAAGCTATTAAAAAACCTTTAAAGGGAATAGATTTTTCAAGAGACTATGGGGGCATAAACTGGGCTTAAAATGAAAGGCACCTTCAATCAGCAATAATTGTGTGGACTGCAGACTGTCTTATATAGTTGGTTGTTGATTGTCAATTTGCAATGAAGAAGTTTGTTACTGCAAATGTTACCTCTATATTTAACAAGTGCAATGACTAAGAAAATCTTATTTTCCCTGAGTTATGTTCACTTACCTTCAACTTCTGCTTCATGTATGTTACATTGGTGCATGAGCTGCTGTAAGTCCTTGTGCGTTTGTTTATGGACTTGAGACAAGACAGCTTGGTTTAAAGCCACATCACTGGTCTGATCTTCTTTTGTAACTCCCTCAAACACATTGCTACAATAGGTCTGGAGTAAAGGTGAGCTAATGATGTGTTTACTTGAGAAACTGGGCTTCAGTGCTGTTGGTGTTGGTCAGAAGCAGACCAACTGGTATGCAGTTAGCAGGAAGTTGTTGATCAGTGTCACAGGCACTCTAAAAGATTCGTGTTCATGGAAAGAGGATTAGTAACTCATCTGTTCCCAGTAACTCTATCTTGATTGCCAAATGCTTAAGCCATCTTGATCAGTAATTATGGAACTGTAAACTTCAGTAAAGAGAATAACTCAAATTGGCTTCTACTTCATTATTTTAAGAGCTGCATCAGGTGTGGTATCAAGAATTTACTGTAAGCTATGGTAGGGGAAAAGATGGGTGGATCAGTGTCTGTACAAGACAAAGACAGCAATGAGCTAAGAGCAATCTGCTGAAATGACAAATGGGAGGCAGCACAAAGCCTCATGTAGAAGCTGTTTGCAGAGTTGGTGCTGCAGTAGTACTTAAGCCAGAGGAGACTATTTTTTTTCTCATTAGCAGAGCAATGGATCTGAGACTCAGCTCTCACTGTATGCACTTGTGTCCTCAAACACAGATGCTGTCTGGTCATATAGGATATATCTGGGAGGAGAGGAATCTTTAAAGAACAGCAAAAGGCATAAATTTTTACCTTCCAAAATTTAACTGGAGCTTTTGTCAAAGCAATAAAAATAGTTACTATAGTTTATTATAGGAAGAAAGCTTAATCTCTTATATTCAAAATCAAGGATCTTAAATTTATATCCAAAATATAAATATAAGATCCTTATACTTATATTCAAATATTATATTATATTTATACTTATATTCAAAATCAAGGATCACCTGTATTCGACTTTTATTTTCAAAGGCTAATGAAGAGCTGGATGTAGAGTTTTACTTGGAGAAATGGTGAGTCTTACCTGAAGAGCTGAATGAACTTCTGCTCTGCAGATTTCTTGTTTTAGTTGCTCTTTCTCTGCAGGGACAGTTTTGCCTATAAAAAGGCAGGATGGTTTTCTGTGGTGTTCAGGTTGATTCACCAATAGCTGATCACAAATAACCTTAAAGATCCAGTTGCCCAAATTTTTGGGGTATCAACAAAGAAATAAAATTTTGCTGGACATCATGGGAATGACAGCACTGCAAAGGAAATTAAGATTTTGTGGATGGGTTACTTAAGAGGGGAAAGCTTTCACAGTTAACCTTTCAGTGTAAACAAATGAATGCTTTATCTTTCTGATAGTCTATCTAAGCTCGGCTTTTCTCTAGGTTATCCAAATAACTGAGATGTGGAGACCTTGTAGTTGCAGACAAATTTTCTTCAGTATTTTCCCCCCATTGCTCTGTGTAGGGAAATATTCTTGCTACTGGTCTCACACGCTGAGGGCCTTTCTTCCCCATGCTTATCCAGGCATTTAGTTTGTGAAATAGGATGAAACAAATTTTAAACAATCCTAATGAACATTAAATCTCTTCCTTTCACAGCCCAGATGCCCCTACAAAGGTACTGACCAACGGAGTCCTTGTGGTGAGTACATGGAAGTCAGTTACATATGTGTTGGGATTGACTTCTTTGGAAAGTTTTCAGTAGTGAGAGGACAAGAATTGTTGAAATTTCTACTCCTGCTTCCAAATTGTTCCTTTTCTCTCCAGCTTCTGCCTCTCTGGCAGGTTCTGAAGAGGTACTCAAACATGCATGAAAAAAGGTAAACCAACAGAAAACCCCCAGTTGTTGAGACCTTGTAGCTGTGAAGAGCTGGTTGTAAAACACCACAGTTACTGGAATGGGAATGGTGGTTTTGATTTTGGAACAAGAGCGCGTAATGAAAGAAAACTTGTTCTTTATTGGAAAGATCAAAATAACCCTCAGTGTGTTTTTGGCAGCTGTATGCCTACACCTAGTATGGTAGGTGGATTAAGCTTCAACAAAGAAATGAACTAAAATGTCATAATTGGAGTTAGTTTCTTCTTTTCATAGGTTCATCCTTGCTTGTCTCTGCAAGGCACTGTCAACAAAGAGGAAGAACAGCAAGGTAAAGCTACCTGCAGGGTTTGTCGTATCTACTTTTCAGCATATTTATCCCTTGGGTGAGAAGGGAGACTTGATTCTTTATTTATACACTACATTTTTATTTACTGACTACAAAACTTATTTCTTAAGTTAATTTTGCATTTCTTTTGATACTAAATGATGCTGGATCACTTCCAGTGGGTACCAGTCAGGAGAGTTTTTGCTTGTGTTTTTATAGTCTCAGCTGCACTTAACATGTACCTGATTCTCGACATTTATTTAAATGTCTCTTGGAGTCTAAACTTCTTATTGTAATGCACAGGGAGCTGTGAGGTCAAGGTATCTGTTCCAGGGGCATATCAGAAGCATTTGCGTATTCCTCTGGGACCAGACAGTGAGGATTATGGAACCTCATTTGTCTTTCATGTGGATAAAGAAATTTGTCCTGAACTGCAAGTAGAGCTGGAGCAAACCATATCTGTCCTACAGGTAAGCATCTGTGCTGACTGCTACAAAGTTTACAGCCCACTTTTGAATAAATCCAGCCTGAACCCAGTGCCTTTTGTTCCATGAAGATGTTGTTAACCATAAATTGGACAGCCTTAATTGGATTGCAAGAAGCCCAGGGGCTTCTTCAGATGTTCAGGGATGTCGGTATATTGTATAGGTACCTGTGGATGTCAAAAGCGTGCATTGGTAGCAAGTTTCCTGTGGAATGCTTATATGTATGTGGTGCTACGGACCATCTATTCTGAAGGTTACTAATCACTTCCAGATATGCCTTTTTGTTCCAACTTAACTCATTGATGTTGTAACTGCTCAGATCAGAATTTTCTAGGCTGAAGGAATGTGTTTTTCTGGCTATGCATTAGGAATTTAAGGGCAGAGATAATTTTTTTTTCACTATCACTGCTTTTTACACATTACTGTTTTTTTTAATTTAAAAAATGAATAAAAATGTCAGACTTTGCATTGGATGTTTGATGTTGGGTAAAAAGTGAACTCTTCTTATAAGCATACCCTCCCCAACACTTAAAAATCTGTTCAAATTTGGGATTTAAGAAAACCTGAATCTGCACATGCTTGCTACATGAACACATCTTTACTTTCACTGTTGAGATGCTGTATATCAGGTCTTTTCTATTAGGAACTTGTAGAGGACTTGTCACTTGCAAAGATTTCTTTGGCTTTGCCTGTCACTTCAGTTTCTAGCTGTACCTGTGCAGTGTGTGTATCTCATAGGAGCAACTGAATATTCATTGTAATGACTGCTTCCAGTATGGCCTGTGAGATCTTCTGCTTGGGGCAAACAACTATATTAAAGAAACCAAACCACCACCAACAAAACAAAGCTATTTGAGTGACAGAAATAATCCCAATAAAGATCTGTCAACAAGGGGGCAGGATGATCTTGCAAAGTCTTAGACTTTTGGGAAAGGTTTAGTTATAATGATTTTAAAGATTATTTGCTCTTTTAACATATAAAATACAGATCTGCAATTTTTATCTGGAAAGCTCAAATAACATTTTGTTTTTTAATAGGATGGTATGAATGATATTGAAAAGCATACTACAGTTCTGGGACTGGGGACTGTACCAGTTAATTCCCTTCCTATTGGACAAAAAGTTGATAGAATCGTTTCTCTGGGAGAGGTAATGTCAACATTTCAAAACTGTTTTAACATGCTTGGGATAACTTTTCCCCCCTTTGCCTTCAGGCATTTGAAAAGTTAAGCTTCACAGGATTATTAGGAGTGCTGTTTCCTTGGATATCTAGAATGAAACACTGAGATTACTCAGTGCAATTCTTCTAAAAATGTTTTCATGGTTGGGTCTTGCAGAGTAAGTGATGAAGAGAGTTCAGCGCTTTCCAAAGCAAAGCCTGTTAGGGTGTGAAAGAAAAATATCAGAAGAGGAAAACCCCAAGAAGCTTGCAGAAGAACTAATTTTTTTCACTCTACTCTTTTACTTTCTGTGAAGACTATTGACTATGTCTGAAATAGGTGCGGCAGGAAGTGTTTTAGAGATGTAGTTTTGTGGGCGAAACTGCTGTTTTGATTAGTATCAAGTGACCCTGCTCATGTCATAACCTCTAGTTAGTAATTAGTTACTGTCAATTACAAGATGTGTTCTCTCTTTTCACAGGGACAAGGTTTGAATATGAGTTTTAAAGCTGAAGAGAGGTGAGTGGGAACCTCAGACCTCTAAAAACAAGGAAAGGGCTTTATTCGTATAGCAAAGGAGCCGAGTAATTCTCTCACTGTTCTGGGGTGTTCTGTTGCCTGTATTATTCTCTTGGGATAGATTCAGGAAAAATACATGGTTATTTTTCTTCTGAAGGCTGTGGCTCTTCACTGGGCAGATGTCAACTGGATTGGTGTCAACCTTGCTGAAATCTGAACAGACTTTGTATTCCTAATGTAGAATAGCTGATGGTGTAAATATTGAGTAGCTTTATTATTAGGTACAGATTGTTTTGAGAGTATGTGCAGTGCTGTAGGAAAGGGCATCTCAGTGTGTGAAGAGTTAGAACTATGAAATAGAAGAAGTTATAAGGAAAGAATAAGGCACAAAACCAAGCAGTTGGCTAGTAAATTGGCAGGGTCATTTGGTACTTAGTCATTAACTGAAGATCCTGCTTCCCTCTTACATACTCATAGCATGTTTATTGGCATTCAGTTGTCCCCTTCTGCCTCTAAAGTTCAGAAACTCCAATCACTCTTCCTTTCATTTCTCCATTCATGTCAATACAGTGATCTCAGTTGCGCTTCATGCAATCTTCTTCACCCACTAAGAATCTTTTCTTCCTTTGTGAAGCTCCTTGAAGCTTAACTGGAATACTGTTTGACACAGACTTTGCGTTTCGACATTCAGGGAGAAATACAACAGGGAGAAGTTTCATTTTTAATTCTAAAATCTGTTGTTACAAAATAGCTGGTCTACACTAAATTCTGCATGAAGATTTGGATCCAGTGATTCAGATCAGCACCTAGATTGTGTGTTCATGGAAATTGTTTTTCCCTGGTAATTACAAATGCCCCAAAACTTCAGGTTTTTTTTGTCTTTATTTCTATTTCAGCAGTTGGGATCTTGATATACGCCTGGGTTTTGACCTCTGTAAAGAGGAGAGAGAATTTTTGGAAAAAAGGAAGAAAATAGTTTCTGAAGCACTGAGGAAGACTCTTCACTTAAAAGAATCCCCTTCAAAAGATGAGGTATTAGTTGTTTATTTGAGGACACTGTTACATCTGGTTAGCCTGGTACCTTGCTCTGTGATTTTTTTTTGGATGCTCTTGTAGGGATGATTGCCTTTTTTTGTTCTTATGTATATATTGTATGGCATATGTGTAAATGTGTGGTAACAGATATGCATAACAATTTCAGTAAATGACTGTCCCTGAGATGACACTGATATGGCTTATTTTTTTATATTTTTATTTCAATTACAAAGTAGAGAAAGGAGCTCTGAAATTACTTGAAATGTAAATAGGAATAGATATTTTTACCTCTTATTTTTATAAGAGTGAGACTTAAGTGGGATTATTTGTTATTTGTTGGCAATTCAAAAGTCTGTCATTATGACTACTGTCTGCAGGTTCCAGTTGTAGCAGTGGTGGGGTCTGGAGGTGGCATGAGAGCACTGACATCGTTTTATGGCAGTCTTGCTGGGCTTCAGCAGCTGGGCCTTTTGGATGCTACAATATATCTGTGTGGGATTTCTGGCTCTACTTGGTAAGTGTTGATTCCAGAAGCTTATAAGTGAATATGGTAGGACTGATATAAAATAAGGCCAAAATTGCATTTGTGCCATCCATAAACAGAGAACGCAGTCAAATATTTTATTAGCTCTCACCAGTGAGTTCTAACAGGGATCCTAAAGAGTCTAAGAGATTCATTATGAGTCCTAACCCATACAGCTACTGACTGAATTTATGAATCTGCTGCTTTTCTAAGCCTGGAAGTTGAGTATTAAAATGTATTGCCTGAATAAAACTGCTGTGTGTTCCCTCAGAAACCCTGACTTCAGAAACTTTCCCCATTTTCCTTCTCTTGCCAAGAAGACAGCTGAGGTGGTGCAAATCACTTGAAGGATGTCCGCATGGACCGCTCTGTCACTACCTTCCAAAATGTTGTATGTGGCTGAATATAGGAATAGCACTGGCTTGCCTTTGGTAGATTGCAGCAATGTGCTGAAGAATTAGACATGGCTAGAATTTTTCAGTAGCTTGGTGTTGTGCTTTAAGCCCAGGCCATAAATCAGCCAGCAGCCCTCTCGCTTCTTTCCCCCTTTTTTCCCTCTCCCCTGCTCCCGAAAGGACGGGAAGGAGAATAGAAAGAATGTAACTCCCATGGGTTGAGATAAGAACAGTCCAGTAACCAAGTTGTAACACAAACCACTACTGCTACCACCAATAATAATAATGATAAGGGGAATAACACGGGGATAGAATACAACTTCTCACCACCCGCGGACTGATACCCAGCCCAACCCGAGCAGTGATCTAACCCTTTCGGGTAACTGCCCCCAGTTTATATACTGGGCATGACGTGCTGTGGTATGGAATACCTCTTTGGCTAATTTGGGTCAGGTGTCCTGTCTCTGCTTCCTCCTGGCTTCCTCTCCTCCCTGACAGAGCATGAGACTCAGAAAGTCCTTGGTCAGACTAAACATTTAAGCAGTAACTAGAAACATCGGTGTTATCAGTGCTGTTCCCAGGCTGAAAGTCAAAAACACAGCACTGCACCAGCTACTAAGAAGGAGAAAAATGACTGCTACTGCTGAACCCAGGACACTCAACAAAACAACCCTGGGTTTTGAGATGAAATTATCCCTCGTAATAAACACACATTGTTTTCATGAAATGATTTCACTGAGGAGTTGTGCAACCTGATAGTATAATCCCCCTTTCCAGAGCTTTCTGTGTTAAATTAACTCCTGTGTACTTAGCATTCTTCCACTAACTTTGTGATTTGCCCCCCTCCCCTTTTGATTCAGACACACTTTCAAACAAATGTGGGCATCTGTTTGTGTGGATAGCCAACAGTCCAAACTAGTTTCTCCTTTAATTAGACCTGTGTTCTGTTGCTGTATGTAGTAGCACCATTGCTGTCAGCCAGTTTCTCAGGCTTGTTAGGGCCTGGAGTTTACTCACATTTATGAACTGGCTCATGTGTGCTAGCGTACAATGCTTGGAACATCCTATAAAGGTAGGTAAGCAATCAGGATGAAGTTGTCCTGAAGATGTCAGGATTTTCAGCAGCTTCTAAGGTTCCAAGATCCATTATTATAGTCTCATCTTTTTAATGACATTTTACCTTTTAGCTAACTTCTCCAGTTTTTAGTTCAATCACTGCAGCGCTAATTATAACTAACTAAAGCTGTTGTTTACATTAGGGTCATTATTATGGATGACATTAATATAAGCATTTTCAGGTGTTTATCAACACTGTACCAAGACCCTGAATGGTCACAGAAGGACCTTCAAGATGCAATCAGGAGAGCCCAGGCTACAGTGTCCAGCAGCAAAGCAGGGGCATTTTCCCCAGAACGACTGAAATACTATTTCCAGGAGCTGAAAGCAATGGAGATCAGTGGACGGAAGGTTTCCTTTACCGATTTGTGGGGCCTTATTGTGGAATATTTCCTACAACAGAAGGTAAAAGAGTTCACATTTGGATGTGTATTGCTGTTTGTTTTCCAGGTGGCCCAGTCATAGAAGGCCATCAAATCTGTCAGGCAGTTTGCCCTTAGTAACAGTTTGCCGTGTAAGCAACAGCTTCAAATTAATCAAAGTATGGGTACGAATTTATCTGACTAAAGTCTGCTTCTCCATCCTTGCTTGTGACCAGGAAGATCCATCAAAGCTCTCTGATCAGCAAGAAGCAGTGAAATGGGGCCAGAACCCCTATCCTATCTATGCAGCTGTCAATGTGAGACCCAGTATTAGTGGTGATGACTTTGCAGGTATGAACATGGTAAATTTATTTTTGTTGGCTAATATCCATAAATTCCTTTCACTTACCCAGTTCCTTGGCTAGTGAGTAGCTGGCAACAGGAAATGTGCCTCAAGCAGAGTTGGTAGTGCAAGAGGCAACAGGATGCTGCTTGGCAGAGTGTTACCATCCTGATCACAAATGTCTTCATCATGGCTTTAACAGAGAAATGAGATTCTGGCCACTCCAGCAGAGTTGAATCTCCTGTTTGCCTAGACAGTGCCTGAAATTTTCAGGAGCTGAGAGTGGAGATTCTTAAAATACACAAGTCTGCGTCTGAATCAGTGAATTAAAGTAATTAGGTGACTTACTTTTATAGTCTCAGATAATCAGTTTGTGTAGGATTCATGTAAAATGATGGATTTGCCACCTTGTACCACACATCATTGAAATTGGTATTTAACAGCCTGGTTATACAATTATGGTAAAAAATGAGGGTGAGTTCTATTTCAGGTCACTTGAAACTTTAAATATGATGCAAGAAGTAAAGATAGATATAGTGAGACAGGAACACAAACACTTGTGTTCATCTGTGTACCACTGTGGGAGGTTTTTGTTTTGTTCTGGAGGAGTCTGTGTTTATGATAATGAATTTGATTTGTAAGTATTTGTGGAAAGCTTTCAAGCGTGAGGGGGCACTTTGATAAGCAGACAATGAAGTTTGACACAGTGGGTCAATTGAGTTTTCAAGGCAGTATTGTAGTAATTTCTGAGAGATGGCAAGTAGTTTGAAGAAGGGCTAAGGAAAGTAAAGTAGCTTCCGTTTGTGATGGAATAGGGAACGATCAGAATGGTTTGAAGTGGAAGTAAAATAGGTTATTTCTGCAGTAACAAAGTCAACATGGAGCAAGATGCAACATCCTTCCACTCTCTGAATCCAGAGAGAAAGGAGGTTGTATTTAGTCAGTGATAGCCTGTACAAGAGTGTTTATTAATCCTGTGTAAGATAGTGTTTCACTGAGAGGAGTGACAGGGAAATCCACAGTGAAGGTGAAAAGTGGAGGGAAACTCCTTTCTGTCTGCCTTCTCTGAACAGAAATCAAATGAGTATTTTTACCTATGTTTACTCTGAGATGAGTAAATACCTGGCTGGCTTGTTCTTAGAATGGTGTGAGTTCACTCCCTATGAAGTTGGGTTTCGCAAATATGGAGCTTTTGTCCGAACAGAGGACTTTAACAGTGAGTTCTTCATGGGACGGATCATCCAGAAGCATCCGGAACCTAGGATTTGTTTTCTACAAGGTATGATCTTACAATAACAAATAAAATGGGGAGATGGAAAGGAGCTACTCTGCTTTTGGGACTCATCAACTTAAACCCATGCATTTTCATCCCTGCCTAAAGAATTTGAAGAAGGGAAAAATGTCAGATCTTTCTCCAGAGGTGTAAGTGTAGGTTCACAGTTTTGCAGTCTGATGCCCTGAGTCTGCAAGAAGATTCCATGCCTGTCAAAAACTTCTGCTTTAGGTCTTCTGATTTTCTTGCCACCTTTACCCTGCTGGTAGAAGACCTTTCCTCTTGGAGAAATTTTTGCATTCTACTATTACATCAGAATTTGTCACATGATTGACTAAGGTTTAAACTCAAACATCACATCTTAGAATAGAGGGGGTCAAATGAGAAGTCTCTCCTATACAAATGGCAGGCAAATAACAGGCCTTTTGGTTACACTGTAAAAGTGTTTTGAATATTAAATTCTTTTGTATTTCTCCTGCAGGAATGTGGGGCAGTGCCTTTGCTGCAAGCCTAGATGATATCTGCCTGAAGGTGGTTGGTATAGGACTGGGCTTTCTAGATTCTTTCAAAGATGTTATCAAAGTTGTAGGTAAGAATATACATTAAAACAGTAGGTTTTTTCAAAAGATTCCTAGTTTTAGAATGATCACATAAATAATATGATTAAAAAATGTGCTGTGTGTAGTTTTCAAGATTAGTGTAAAGATGGTTTTGGGCAAATCTCATGTGTATCCTTCCTTTTCACATATAGCAAAGAGAGTAGTTACAGTTTTTCAGTACACTTTCTCTTCCTCCTTTTTTAAATTCTGTATCTGACTTTGCCTGTAAGTGTGGGCTAGTTCTGGAAGCTGTCTTAAGCACAGTCATGAGAAGAGGAAGACAAAAGGCCAGGCTGCTAAGCAGAAGGTGGAAAATAGGTTTTCAGTGCCCTCCTTGGCCTGATTTTTGTAATCTTGGTTAAGATGGTTGTATGTTTATGCATTGTTCTCCATTTGTGCAGTGCTTCCCTAGCAGTGAAAAGGAAGTTTATTAAAAGCTAAGATGTTCAGGTGCATGTTATAGCCTTATAGTAGGTAGTAGGGGAAGAGTTTTTTCTCCTCTGCTTTTGCAGCCCTAGTTTTTTTTCCCCCCACGTTTTTGTTGTTGCTACTATAAATGCTACTGTGGGTATATGGCTGTTGTCTTATGAGACAGAAGTGGTTGTCACTTGGTAACAAGGGTTTCTTTGTGGGGGTCTGAAATTAGCATGAGCAATGAGTTACGAGCAATCCTATTCCCTTTAAACAGGGAAGGTAAATTATCCATCTATAGGATATGCAGCTCATTTAAATTTCATTACAATACTCTTATTAGAGGACAAATACAGCCTTAGGACACCTGGTTAAATATTGTAGAGAAAAGTCTGATTGAAATGTTGGATCTGGGCAAGTATTTTGTATGTGTTCTGCATCCTTCTGTGGCTTCTGCAGATGACTGCCGAAGATTTCATTTCCGTGATCCAACACGACTGAAGACTCGCTTGGTTATACCTGGGGGCCCCTTGTTACAAATCTTAGAGGATTTCTTCAAGTCCCGGGTCACATGTGGAGAAACTTTCAACTTCATGCAGGGACTGTATCTTCATAAAGATTATGTTAACGTCAAGAAATTTGTGGCTTGGAGAGGTAAACGAGCCTGCATGTATCTGGGGTATAAAATAGTGTGTTATGATTCTGGAACAGTTGATGTTACAGAACAGAAGTGAACTTTGTTCCACTGAAGTCAGGGAATTTACCTCTTCTTACACTGTAGCAAAATATTTGATCCACTATGTATGTTCTCTCATATAAGGCAAGCTCATCAACAGACTTTACAGGTTGGATTCAAATGAACATGCATGTAGGAATGTCTTTTTTTCTTCTTACAGCCCCAGCATAAGCTTTGATTGTTGCTTGTACCTAGAGGTGTGTAATGAATCATTATATTTACTTGTGTTACTTGGAGTGTCTTTCAGGCACTCATCTGGATGCATTTCCAAACCAGCTGACCCCAATGGAAGAGAGCTTGTATTTAGTAGATGGTGGCTTTTCTATCAACTCTCCCTTTCCTTTGGTACTTCAGCCAGAGAGAGATGTGGATGTTATCTTATCATTCAATTATTCCTGGGAAGCTCCGTTTGAGGTGAGAGATGTAGGTGAGCATTATTACATGAAAATGAAAGCACAGAATCAAATTCAGAGTGGCAGCAGATGAGTTGATCCTGAATACAAATAGTAATGAAAGAATGTATTAAATCTATGTTTTTGACTGTGAACATTATGAGGAGATGGAAAGCAACAGCTGTAGTAAGATTCAAAGCTTTTCAGAAGCCTAAATAAATTGTTACCTAAAATAGAGTGTATTTGTTTAGCTCATATAATCCTTGTTACTTAGATGTAGGCTTCTAATGGAAAAGTGGCTATCATTGATTTTCTTCATGCAAACAATTTCCTGTATGTACAAGTGTTTAAGTGCAGAAAAGTCAAGGTGAATATATACAGAGTTAACAAAACAGAAAAAGTTTTGTTTGAAAGCTGCTGATGTTTGGTAGCAGTTCTCAGTTCTGTTCAGTATTTTATTTATTCATTTTTTTTAGTCAAAAGGCTCTTTTCCTTTGGAGATTGCTGGTATTGTATCAAAATCATTCTAGTTCTTTGACAACAGGTTTTAGAATTGACTCAGAAATACTGTGAGGAGCGGGAAATTCCTTTTCCAAAAATCAAATGGAGTGAGGAAGACGAAAAGCAGCCAAAAGAGTGTTACATGTTTGTGGATGATGATAATCCAAAGGCTCCGATAGTGCTCCATTTCCCACTGGTGAATGACACCTTCCAGAAATACAAAACTCCAGGTAAGGGAGCTGTACATTAAAGAGTTTTTTTACAGTCCTTTGGGCGTACTGATGGGGAGAATTCAGTGGGCTCAGTGTCTCTCCTTTCTTTCTTGTTAGTATTACCCTGTAATTACTAAAGGATTACTTTAAGGCAGAATCACCCAGTGCTGGGCTTGACTATGGCTCAAGACTACTGTTCCTATAATAGCAACAAGCAAAAGTGTCTTTGGCAATTTACTTTCATGTTAATCTTTCAAGACTGGTATTTAAATGTAAGTGGTAGGGTGCTGAAAACAGGAATTATATTTTGAAGGATATATACAGTCCTCCACAGGTCACTCATAAACTCACAATGTTTAGTGTCTTTTATTTTAGCGTAGAATGGCACTTCCAGGAAGAATCGAGTTTTGTGTTTCCTGTTTTGAGCGTGATATTTATGAATGCACTAAACAATTTATCCCAATGAAAGTATATTTTAGTCCTGTATTTTGTAGTCTGGTTGAAGTAGAAAGTGTCATAATACTTTACCTTCAACTTCCAAGCGTTTTGGATCCTGAAGGAACAGGAATCTCTGAGGAGGAGCTTTGGGAAAAAAGTTAAGGTTCACCAGGATTACTTGTGCTATTCTCCTTGCAGAATCCAAGTAAAATGGGTCTACCCTTGCTGGCTTTTTTGGGGTTTGGTTTTTTGTTTGTTTTCGTGTTTGTTTTTTTTGTGTGGTTGGTTTGGTTTTTTTTATGATTATTTATTTATTTTCTTGCTGCAGGAGTTGAGCGTGAGTCAGAAGAAGAGAAATCCTTTGGTGACTTTGTTATTGAGTCAAAAGATTCTCCTTACCGTACACTAAATTTCACCTTTGAGCCGCATCATTTCAACAGGTTAGTGGAAGTGAATCGCTACAATGTTCTGAACAGCAAGGACACTCTCCTCAAAGCCCTAAACCTGGCTCTGCAAAGGAGAAAGTTGAAGTAAGTCACCAATACATGAAATATGTGAGCAGCTTCCATAGCTGAGGATACAGATGCAGTGCAGTGTATGAAAGCTGTGTGGTTCAAGACAGAATATGGAAAACTAATAGCTGGAAACTGTCTTCTTGTGAATGGAGGGGCACATGCGACTCTGAAAATTCATTCCAGATAACAGATGCTTCTATGAAAACCTGAAGGGATGTACAATACAATGTGGATGTTGCTTTGTTATGTGGTGAAGAGCAGGGAATTGCCTAGTCCAGTACCTCATCTTACAGCGCCTTATGTCAGATGACTGGAGAGATCTATTCAGATGGTTCAAGCATATGGATGATGATCTTCCAAACTCCACTGAGTGGAGCACCTCTTTCTGTCAAAGGTGTGGCAGTGTTTGAGGAAACACCGATTTCTTCTGTATCTTTATCTCACTTGCTCTTTCAGCCTTCCTCCATGAATGTTTACAATTTACATCATCTGTCAAGGAACTCCACAGATTGTATCTATGTACTGGGAGATGAAATGTGTCCTTTTGCTTCCAAATTGCTACTGGCTGATGCCCATGTACTTTCAAGACTGCACAGTCATTAATTGCTTTCCATTTTTGCTGTTCATGCTTTCAAAGAGCTCTATGGTATTTCCTTTATACTTTTCTCAAGGCTTACAATGGTTTTTAGACTCCCAGAAGTTCAGTATAGAGTACCTTACTTCAGTAACTGTTTGTTTTGAGGAATTAATAGCTACCTTTTATATATTTAACAATTAAAGACACATCATGGGATTATGTTGCTTCTTCGTACAGTTTGATCATCACATTTAATGAAACTTGCTGTCTCATCTCTTTCTAAGAGGAACAAAGGCTCTTTTGAAGAGTCTGAATTAGATATCTTTTCCTTATACTGGGCATGCAATTCAGCCAGACCTTTGTTCAAGGAATCTCTCTGTGTGTGTATATATTTTAGAAACATCAATAATCAAGGTAAGCATACCTCGTGAATGTGAGTGAGTAAAATAATGTCAGATGCTGCTGTGCTGTGAGATGGAATTTACCTCACTTGGCAGAAAGCTCAGAGAAAAATACTGAATTATGCAGTTGAAAAATATCTGATATATAAAAGGAAAGCAAACAAACACTGTTTACTTTTGTGGCTTTTACATTGAGCTGAATGTATTGATTCTGTATTTGAAAACTGGAGGCAGGAAATTTGTCTTTTCTGAAATGATGTAAAGGCTTACAAATAGGCATGATTCTTGATCTTTTTTATATGTTTCTCTTTCAATAAATAATAGTTTTGCTAACGTGCTTGTCAAGATTTTTCTTATGGACACTTGTCTTGATATATTTTTCCTTCTTATAATAAAAAGTAAGCAAAAAAGTCAGTGTAATACTATATAGCATAGTATCTTTTAGAACATCAGGGTACCTGACAGTGGGTCTTTCCAAGTCCCATCTCAGACTGGTGTTTCACAGCAGTAGATAGTCACTTCTTCATTGAGAAATCTATCTTTGAGAAAGCATGTGTCAAAACTGATTTTTAGATGCATTTCAAACAGTGATTTCATCTTGGTGATTAAACTTGATATCTGGGAGGATGTAATCTCTATGTCCTTAGCACTTATTTACTTAAGCTGAAATAAGAGGAATAACAACTTAATGTTATCAATTTTCTTTATAAGTGGAGCCATGCATCTACCTGCTTTGTAGGATTTGGTCATCTGACATATTTCCTGAGTGACTTTAGGATATTTTTCCACATTAGATATTCAGGTATTCTTGTCTCAGCCGCCCTTCACCCTGCCACCATGCCAAGCCTTTGACTGTAATATGATGGGAGTTTCCTTTGTCCCTCCTGAGTGGATCCTTTTTATTTTTTCTGATGTGAATGAGTTGAATTGCATTCGATTTTGGTTTTATGATTGTTTTACTTATTTCTTGGTTTTGAGGTCCTCTCCTAATTGGTGATGCTTGAGCACTGTGGAGATACAGGTATGTGGATACCAGTATATAGGTGGGAAGTTGGAATGTTTTTTGCCAAAACCTCTATCTATTCAGATTTGCTACATGTACAATAGAATCTTTAAAGGCACAGCTTCTCCCTAAGCTCTTCCATGTTTGTAGGGCTTCTTTATTAGAACAAGACATGGGGCCATAATAGTTAATTTTTATTTCCTAAACTGCTGTGTAAGCAGCCACCGCATTTGAAACTCTTTGTTATGGCAGTAGAGTTGTCCACAAGTCTATACTCTCACTGTATGGCATAGGTCCTTCAGACTTGTTAAATGCTTTTTGACATGTGGGAAAAATGTGTCTCTTGTCCTGGCATTTACAAGCCTAGTTATTAAGGAGAAATCTGACATCCCAAGTCAAAGGAACGTTCAGGAGAAGTGGGAAGCAGATAAGGGAGCAGAATCTTGTGATAAGGGGTAGCAGAGAGGGCAGACTGCTGGTGGCCTGCCACTGTGTGTGTTTAAGCTCTGTGAAGCAGAAGTGTTAGTAAAGAGCTCAGTGTTCTAGGTAAACTTTACCTGGAAAATGCTGAAATGGGGAAGGAAAAGTGTTGTTCTCTGAAGGGTGCTGTGTTTTGGGGCAGGATGATTGAAGATGTTTTTGCATTTTCCTGGAGAATGTATTTACAAGCCAAATGATGTTTATGTTGAATTTTACCTCTTTAAAGTGCTGTGCAAAATCTTTGCAGTATTATTAACTGTAGTAGATGAAAAATGTGTCTGGAATCACACCCAATAATCTTAAACTGAGGCAGAAGTGGTATTATCTTTATTGCTTTTGACATGGCAAATATTACCTCAGAGCAGACTTTTAATCACTCATCTGTGCTTAGTTTCCAGGTGAGACACTTTACTCAACATCTTAAAAGGAACAAAGACAAATACAGAAGTGATGTCTAATCAGAACATGATATTGCTGTGACATGGTTTTGAAAAAGGCAATGAGATCCAGAGGTGTTGGAGGTTGAAACATTTCCAGTGGAAATAGGGAAATACTAGTAATATTGAGCAAAGTTCTGGTAAAGCCTCATGTAGAACAGTGCATGCTGACTGGCCACCATTTGAGGAAAATGAACTCATAACAGATGCATGGATAAGGAAGTATGGGAAAGGGAAAACCTGCCATTTGAGAGGACTCCAGACGGCTCTAGGTTAATTTGCTTGTCAAAGCAACAACTGAGAATGGACCTGTGTTCCTTATGAAAGCAATCTAGAGCAAGGAGGTAAAGCTAGAAGGTGAGTGTTGGTGTGAGAACAAAAAAGTGAAGGAATAAGCTTAGGCTGAGTATGAAAAGAATATTTCAGAGTTCTGTGGCATCTATGAAAGACTTGACAATGGTAGGCTAACTTTCTGGTGAGCATCTAAAATAGAAGTTGATAAAATGATAAATGATTTAACCAAAGGTATGGCAACGTTATTAAGCTCTGTTCTGTTGTCGGTATTTGTGATGAGATCTCAGCGGCTGGTGGGAAGAGAAATGCTGTTATCTCCCAAGACTCCGTGTAAGAAAAGGGAGCCTGTATTGTTTTCTCCTTAAAATAAAAACTACTACAGGAGCTGAAGTAAGAAACAATTGCCCAACAAGAATTGTCAGGGAAAAATTACTTCTATTGCTGTAAAAATGAAATGAAATGCCATGTTCAGTGGCTACAGATGTCCAGGGTCTTAACAGGATATTACCCAGATCAGTAAGCGAGATGTTTAACCACACCAGTTTCTTTGTAGACTTCCCTCTCAGCAGTGTATATATTTGGGGTTTTGGCTTCCACTGGGAGAGGTGCAATGTGAAATGAAATCAGTGGAAGCCTGAGCATTCAGAGGCATCTGCAGCTATTAGTGGCCTTTAGACACAAATCCCTCACACTGGGTGTGATAATGATGTTTTACTTTAGGGCAAGTCTCTGCTTACTGCAAGGTTTGATCAGGGATTCAGATAAACATTTATTTCACTACTTCAGCTGTGCTGTAACAGAAGTTAAGGAACCCTGTTTTTCATCCTACATTTGGCTGCATGCTGCTATGGCAAGCAGGACACTACAGCCCTTCTGGCAGCTTGAGGACAGTATTTGCTCTCCCTCCAGTCTCCTTCAGCTTAGTCCTATTTAAAAATCATAGCCATGACCATTTAGTATGCATACTTGTCCTGCAGCACAGGAGTAGTATATATACTTCTCACAGCCCTGAGAGAACCCATGCTGTGTGTGAAACTTTAAGTGATGGTAACCTCAGGAGTTCTGTCTTTATAGATTGGCTGGGTGTGTTTTTTTTTGGTGAAAGCATCATGTTCCAAATGAAGATGAAGAAACAGACTGCAACCTTTTCACCTAGTAATACTCTAGGGCAGTTCCATTTGCCTTCCTACTCCTTCTCTTGGAGATAAGATACCGTTGATGGCAGCAGGTTGAGACATGATGGGAACCAAGACACAAATGTAAGTCAGATGACATCTGTGTCAGAAGTATTCACCAACAGATGGCCAGACTCAGTATAAAGACATGCTTGAACACTTACTGTCAGTCCCTGAGGTTATGAACTATATGTTGAGGTGACCTATGTATGTCTCTGAAGGGAAGAAGAAATATAAGAATGTGTTTTTTTTTTTTTTACTGGGAGAAAGGTGAGGAGCTTGCCAAGTGCTGTTATTGTAGATTTATTTATCCCCTAATTTTTTGCAATTCGTGTTGATGCTGCTAAGCTTGCTTGCTATCCAAAGGAATGTGATCATGCATATCCCTGTGTTGCACCCTCCTGAGCCTAGAGGTATAATTAAAGCACTGCTATTAAGAATTCTGGTTCTTGTTGTCTAACGAGCAGGTTAGCACACCACACAAATATCTCTTTACCTATTCCAGTATTTATATAGAGCATATTTAATAATTCTTCCTCCACTTCTGACTCTCCTGGGTTGAAACAGTGGCAGAGCTCAGTGAAGTTACACAAATGCATGAGATTACTCTTCTCAAAAGAATGAAAACCTTCTTTTATTGCATGAAGGAATATTGATAACTTTTCTCTGTGAGGCTATAGTTTTTGACTGCGGACTTCCCAAGTATCAAACTGGGAGGATGGGAAAAACCACATCAGTGGTATCAAATCTCATGTCTAATGAGCCTTAATTTTCACAGCACAGATGGCCCCCACTCATGGCATCACCACCGGTGTTTGGGTGGTGATGAGTGAAACTTTGTGCTGAAACTGGATGCACTGTGCTGTTGCGCTTTTTTGGGAGTTGGTTTGGGGTTTTTCTGTATGTGTGTGAGAACTGGTTGTTGGGTGGATGACCATCACAGCTAAGTTTGCTCAGGTCTGCTAAGAGTTGTATAATGTCCTAAAAACCAGGAACTGTGATGGGAATTCCACAGAGTCTGTGATTCATGCCAAGGGTGTTGATGTAAATATCTGGCTTGAGTTTACCTTAAGGGTAAACATGTAGAGCTGCAAAGCGTGATTACCTAGGTGTGATAACTTGGAGGAGAATAAAAGCTGCCAATAAAATTACAGGGGAAAGTTCAAATCCTTCTTTTCTCTTTAAAAGAAATGTCCTGCAAAACTGTGGGTAACTCAATTTTACCTGTGACCTTTAGCTTTAAAATAAACAGAAAATATCATTACATGTACCAAATGTTGGGGAAAAAATATGCTTATAAAAGGCTAGTTATGGTTACTGGCCCTGCCAACCTGACCACCAATGCTTTGTAGCAAGTAGAAATTAAAGTAGGTTTCTGCACCATTGCTGTTAGCTTAACCAGTCTCTCTACCTTTGCAATACATCCTTTTCCATCTTCGGTGCTAAGTGTTCCTGTTGCAAAGTGGCTGTATGCACCTAAATTTAAATTGCAATCCATCCATTGTACAACTTTAGCATTGTTATGCCCTCATCAGAGTTAGCCTCATTGCAAGCACCCATGATGTAAATGTAGGGTGTGGGGATATTTTTCCTTTAGCATTCCACCACCCGGGCAGTCACTAACACCGTGGAGCAATAGAGCTCCCCTGCTCTTATTTTCCAGCTCAGCAGGGATTTATTTATTTTTTAACTGTTTTGCTGCTGGCAAATGAGGGCAGTTGAAATGCAGAGCTGAAAATGGCAGAGCTTGGCAGGGGTGTAGCTTCAGAGTGGATGGGACTGTACTTTAAAGTGCTTTGTCTGCAGAAGCTAGTCTGCGTTTTGTAATGAGATGTTCTAGAAAATGACATCTGGACAGCTGCATTCATTACTCCATTGTGAAACACAGCAAGTTTAAGCATGTTTTATCTGTGAATTTCACCTTGGCTTTTACTGTAGATCCATCACTGGAATCTGCATAATGATGCGTATTATGCTTTAAGGAAAACATTACACCATAGGTTCACTTAAATTTTGTCAATAGCATTAGGGCAGTGTGTCGGGAAGAAATGAGGAAAAACAAATAAAAGAAAATGTACTCTGTTTGAACCAGTGCCAGATAGCACATGCCTGGGGTTACATGCAGAGGTCCCTGTTCTGTAGAGTTCACAGTACACATCAGGAAGTGGAAGTCAGTTCCATTCAGTTAGCAGCTAATTCAGGTTTTCCTGTTTTAATGACAGGAGGACTGCTTTGGTGCTTTGATTTCGGTATCTGCTTGAATCAGTACTCATTTAGCAGTGGGAAGTTCAAGTAACCTTTAAAAGATGTATTCTTTAGCAA